CATGAAACGCTCAAGTCCTTGGGGTGTAGGGCTTAAAGTTTAGAGTTTAGCAACACTTAGGTGAACACCATGTGGGGTGCAACTCAGGGCCTACGCTTCTAAACCCCTAGACACAAACACCCAAACCCTAAACCCTAAACCCTAAACCCCAAAGCCTGAACCCTAAACCCCTAAACTTTAAACCCCTAAACCCTACACCGGGACACAAACCCAGGCCATAGGGTCAGCTCGCTAGTGAGAAAAAAAACCCTCGCTCCATCTTCCAATGTTTTCCTTCCTGCACAGCTGGGCATCTTCCAATTAGGGTTTAGGGTTTAGGGTTTGGGGTTTGGGGTTTGGGGTTTAGGGTTTAGGGTTTGGGGTCTAGGGTTTAGGCTTTAGGGGTCAGGCTTGGGAGTCATACTCGGACACCTAAGGCCCTAATGCTGCACCCCTACAGTCAGCCGTTCCCTTAACATGCGCCGAATATGGCCCTCATGTTCCCCTAGAGGATCCTGAAAAAGGGTCCCCAAACTCATACCACCTTATGGGGCCTAAGGTAGAGTCCCACTTATCTTAATCTGGAAGGCCGAGGCACTCAAGCAGATCACCTAATAAAGACAGAACTCTGCCTCAGCCCGTGTTTCAACACCCAAAGGATCCCAGGATATCCCAGGTACCAAACAGCCGAGCCACTGGCGCGCGCTCTCGTCGCAAGTTCCTCGCGCTGGAGCTTGGCACCATGGTCCTGTCGAGGCGTGTGTACGACGCGCCAAGCAGAGATGCTATGAAGCAATCAGAGTTGAAGTACAGAAATCGCTCGGGCCAGCGTCGCACCGTCAAGAACAGAAATGCCTTCAGCATCATCGGGCCTTCAGCAGCGTCTTGAGTGCAAAATTGCCCGCGCGGCTGGCGATATCCTCGTTCACGCACCAGATGTCACGGTTTCATCTGTCAATCCTCTTCTTCTTATTCTTCTTCTTTCTCTTCTTCCTCTCCTCCTTCTTCTTCTTCTTCCTCTTCTTCCTCTCCTCCTTCTTCTTCTTCTTCTTCCTCTTCTTCCTCTCCTCCTCCTTCTTCTCCTTCTTCTGATTCTTCTTCTTATTTGTTCTTCCTCTTCTTCTGCTTGCTTCTCAGCAGGCTTTGGGATTAGGGACAAACCTCGTCACCCGCACACTCATGCACCCGTGGTCTTTAGGAGGTCCGGGTGGTACTCCACTGGTATGCAAAGGTTTAGGGTTTAGGGTTTAGGGTTTAGGGTTTGGGGTTTGGGGTTTAGGGTTTAGGGCTTAGGCTTTAGTTCAGGGTTTATAGCACTGCGGTCGCTCAAGCCCTGGCCCTCACTCTCACCAGACGGTGTGAAACTTGCGAGGGTCAGCTTGTGCGGCCGACGTGGCCGACTTCACTCCAAGCCTACCCAGAGCCTCCAAAACCCCTTACTTAAGGAATATCCCTTAAAGTTTTCATAGGAACCCTAATATGATTTGAGGTATATTCCTTAATTAAGGAATATCCCTTAAATTTTTTAATAGGAACCCTAATATGATTTGAAGGTATATTCCTCAATTAAGGGGTTTTGGGGTCTCTGGGTACTGCTACATCAGCTGGAGGCCGACGTGAACCAACTTACTATGAAAATCCACTCTCCCCAAAGAGCCCAATATGGCTTAATTGAGGAATATTCCTTAAATCATATAGGGATCCTTAAGATAATTTAAGGTATATTCCTTAGTTAAGCAATATTGGGCTCTTTGGGTCAGTTCCTGACCACATCCTCTCTTTCAGGGGCCCGTAAAAAGTCGACCATTCCTACGCGAGGTCTGAGGGTGCCGCAAGGCCTCTCTGTTCCCGAAGGGTGCGTGGCTGTTGGGCGACTACGGATGAAACAGATGATGTGTGAAACCTTGAATCAACGTTAAAGTAGACAAACGTGCATTTCGTGCACACTTATTGTTCAGTCAAGGCTCCATTGGTGTTTGCCCCAACACGTCGACTGAGTTGACCTGTGCTCGGCACGGTAAGATTGGTCCCTATATAAGACCCAGAAGGAAAGACTACCAAAAACAAGGCTTCCTAATATGGGGCGTGGGGCCCAAGATCTAGTCCTCTTAAGACTCCCTATAGGACCCATCCAACTGCCAACTGCGCTGTTCCGTGTTTTGTTTTCTTGCTACCCCGTGCGCAGCATGGAATGCTGACACTACTTCCCCTCAGATCATAGGAGCGCAAGACTGCAAGCAGTTCTCCAAACTCTATATGGCCCTCTCAGGGGTTTGTCGGGTACCCTAACCTGGGCATACGGCTCCACAATGCAACAGGGACTTGCAAGACGGGACCCTAGTTTAGAGAACTGGGCAGATGAGCCCCTTGAACCCTAAACCCTAAGCCCTTTTTTGCCACTGGGCTGGGAATAAACCCTAAGCCCTAAACCCTAAACCCTCAACCCTAAACCGCACCGGGACATCATGCCAAGGCGCCAGAGCTCGATGTTGCAGAAGAGTCTTTGCCACCTCCAGGGATCCGGGTCCTGTCGTGCTGCTCGCCTGGCCCAAGGAACCCAAGCCTCCTTTAATAAAAGCATATAGAACAGCATACCTTCTACTGAGCACTTGTTGAACAAGAAGTTGAGGTTCAAAGAGTGGAAAGCCGAGCTGCCGATATACCTATATAAACCCTTAACCCTAAATCCAGTTCTCACAGGCCTGCTGTGCGGCTCAGCTCATGACGCGTGCTGTCTTGGGGATATCTTGGGATGCTGCGTGGAGCCCACGAAACAAAGCAACTATTGACAGTCACTTGTGCGAGCCCAAGCGGCGATGTGGATTGGCGTGCTTCCGACGTAGTTGCTGACATTTGGATCAACATTCCTTCCCAGCAGCGTCTCGACCTGTGACCGTGTCGCGCATGTGGCGACCCGACTTCAAAGGAAAGACCATTCACCAAACAAATCACTAAGTCACTGTGCATGGGACAGCTTGTTCAGCTTCATGCCGCCAACTGGGTCCGCTCCAACCGGCCTCGCTTGCGTTTCCGGATGCTGCGGCATGGCAAAGCAGCCAGGTCTTTGTCTGCAAGTCCACCTGTTCCCGGATCTTCCCCAAAACCCCTTAGCAAAGCAGCATACCCTCATCCATAACAATGATCCTTAGCATAAATTAGGTCCAGGGTATACTCCTGAATTAAGGGGTTTTGGAAGATCCGGATTTGCAGCTGCCAGTCCCAACAAAAAACCAATGGAGAACCCATCGCACGAACCGATTCTTAGCCACTCCTGCTGTCCGCACAACCGCAAAGCCCGACATGTGCCATACTCCCCTAAACCCTAAACCCCAAACCCCAAACCCTAAACCCCAAACTCTAAACCTCGTACTAGGACTTCGTAACTACCAAGCAGCCTATGTCGTCGCAAACTTCCCAAGGTGCATCTTTACAACGGGTCATCATTGAATCCGAAAGCCTTACAACACAGCCCACATGGTTGGTGACTTCCAGCCTCTGCGTGTGGCTGAACTTTGGCTGCCGTCCTAAGCATGCTTCTTGGGTCCAGGATTCAGGCGTTGTGGGTGGGGAGCAGCCAGAAGAAGCAGCAGAAACAGAAAAAGAAGAAGAAGCAGCGGCAGCAGGAGGAGCAGCAGGATCAGCAGCTCCACCAGCGTCAGATGCATATTCAAGACCACACAAAGTGACGACGCTCGCAAGGATGGCACCCCTAAAAGAACACCATCCTCGACCGTCGGCACTGTTGGCCCGCAAAGCTTCAAAAGTGGCGACAGTCACGGTTTAGGGTTTAGGGTTTAGGGTTTAGGGTTTAGGGTTTAGGGTTTAGGGTTTAGGGTTTAGGGTTTAGGGTTTAGGGTTTAGGGTTTAGGGGTGATTCCGACATCCACCATCCCTGTGAAAGTAGGGACAAGCGGATTGGGGGGCTTAGGGCTTAGGGTTTACCATTCCTGTTTCTGGGGGTCATTTCCCGTAAACCCTAAACCCCAGACCCTGTCCGCAGACCCCCCAACTATCCAAGCGAGAGCCCTTCGCAGCAGAAGTTGCAGCCAAACAGCCCAACCAAGCAGCCACTCAATTCAATCCACGTCGCATCGTTGAGAGTTGGTCTTTCGTGGCAGCCTCCCTGTTCAGGGACTTGCAGAATTGCTCGGCTTCCACGGTGTCCTGTAGTTGGATTTAGGGTTTGGGGTTTGGGGTTTGGGGTTTAGGGTTTAAGGTTTAAGTTTGGCACGCATGGCTCATCCACAGTCCTCTTGCACGCCGGGCAAAAGGCCACCAACGGTGCCACAGCACGCCATCAGCGGATCTGCAGAACTTAAACTCCTAAAGTAGGAATGCGCAGCCAGCACTGGAAGCAGCTGCGGCGTGATAGAAAAGCAAGACCCCGCGGAAGAACGCAAACGACTGCTTCAACCGCTGCTCCTTCTTGGGATGTTCCCCTTTAAACTAACATAACAGTCCTCAACAGGGACTCAGGGGTACTATTATCCCTATGAAGGACTGTTTGCATAAGGGGGGAACATCCCAAGCTGCTTCTCCTTTCTGGTACTTAGCTCTTTCAGGCCCTTGCTGTCGTCAAGGTCCAAAACAGTCTAAGGACGGCCCGAGCATTTTCCAACGTCGCCTTCAGAACGCAAGAAGCAATACTTGGAGGTTCATGGGTAGTTGCAGGTGTTGTAAGAATGGTAACTATAATTATAATCCTATTTAGGGTTCTTATAACCCTACTCATAACTACCCATGAACCTCCAAGTAAGCAGCAGGTGTAATTTGAAACCTAGTATAGACCCTGTTCTTCAGTCATCAGATTCAAGATTACCTGCAAATTTTAGCAGGACTTTTGCTGTCCCATCGACAACGGCCGTTGCTGGTCTGAGCAACACGGCAGTTTGGGACGGTTGTGCAAACCAGGCCTGGATCAAATGGGGGTTTATGGAGATCCCTAGCCCTAAACCCTAACCCTAAACCCTAAACCCTAAACCCCAAACCCTAAACCCTAAACTCGACTGGAAGCCAGGTGCCTGGGTGAGCCCCGCTGCCGGCTTTGGCTCCTTGACGCAAGCTACATGTCCCTCTGAGAGGGGGTCGTACCCTAAACCCTAAACCCTAAACCCAAACCCGAAACCCGAAACCCCAAACCCTTGTTTCTTTTTTTCAACTAGGCTTGAGGACTACTGTAGCCAGATTCATCTCCAAGCATCAGCATCTCACCCCATCGTCAGTCAGATACCTTAAACCCAAAACCATAAACCCGAATAAAACCGAAACCCTAAACGGCCCTGAACCTCTGGCTGCTGCCGCGGGGCTTAGGTTGGGGATTGGAAATCTAGGACTCAACTGGGTTTCGTGGGCCGATCCCCCGCGTTGTACACAGACATAGTATATGCATGTATAGCAACGTCGCACTTACTTATTGCAAAAGTGTTTTAACTCGTTGGCATCTGAAGGACTAAGTAAGTCAATAGGGTCTAGGGTTTAGGGTCTACTTCTTCCTAGACGAACTCTCGCAAGCCCCGGGTACACAAAGAACAGGGAAATCTTGCGCAAGCCACTTACTACGAATTGCTTCAGAACCCCCAAAAACTTAAAAACATTCTTCCTTATTAAGGTAAAATAGGGATTGCTACTTTCTCATTCTTTTGGGCTTCTTAAGCACATAGCAGCACCCCTAACCCCTAAGCCCTAAACCCTAAGTGCCGCAAGTGTCGGGGAACGAGCCCCAAAAAGCCTAAGCCATTCCACCAAAGAGGGAACGTAGCCGACCTGGCCCTTGTGATTCGTCATGGTTTTTAGGGTTTAGGGTTTAGGGTTTAGGGTTTAGGGTTTTCACTCAAACTCCTAGGAGGCTGTGGAAACAAGATGCCCCCTGAAGACCTCCGAACAGGACCCAGTGGTTTAGGCTAACGCCAGGCATTACCACCCCGAGGGTCTTGCACGTTTAAGGGTCTTGCGGGAGGGGGGGTGAAATAACGTCCATTCCCATTTGGCAACCTTGCCAAAAACATGGAAATTTACAGCTTTTTTGCCAAGGATGTTTAAGGTTTATGTAACAAGGCACGCGATTACAAGCGTTCATGCCCGTTTGGTGAAGATGCCCAAAACACTGGCTTGTTTGCAGGATTTTTGCTTCTCTACACAACATATTCTGGAACAACTCACGAAGTCACAAGCGTCCATGCCTTCGGCGGAGGAGCATTTTTGCCTCTCTGTACACATTGTTGCCTCTTTTTACAACATAAGCACAAGAACGCTGTGCGCAGTGTTTTTGCCCGAAAAAAGCGCCCAAAAACCAAGCACATGGAAACGGTTTAGTAAACACAAATTGCGCCTCCAAGTGCGTGGCTGCACATCGCACGGCGAACTCTGAAACTTGTCAGGTTTCCTGCCAGGTCCTCTGGCGCTGTTTGGGGTTTAGGGCTTCGGGCCTGGCTGTTCTTCGGTTTAGGGTTTAGGGTTTCGGGTTTAGGGTTTAGGGCTTCGGAACCCTGCTGGTCGGCTCGGGCGCCTCGGGCCATCGGGAGGCGGAGCCGCTGCTGCAGGATTGCACCTCCACCAACCCAGAGAGCCCCTTATACCCCTTAAGGGTGGTTTAGGGTTTAGGGTTAGGGTTTAGGGTTAGCGTTTGGGGTTTAGGGTTTAGGGTTTAGGGTTTAGGGTTTAGGGTTTAGGGTTTAGGGTTTAGGGTTTATATAATATAATCCTCAAAGGGGTACCCAGAAAGCCCTTTATACTCATTGATCATAAGGAATATTCCTTAAATTATAAGAGGGCTCCTTCATATGATCTAAGGAATATTCCTTAAATCACCCAAAGAGCCCAACATCCCTTAATTAAGAAATGTAAGGATCCCAATATAGTTTGGGGTATATTCCTTAATTCAAGGGGTATTGGGCTCTCTGGGTGTATTGAAACCCTCAACCCAAAACCCTTTTTTTCTATCTGGGCTGGGAACCCCAAACCCCTAAAATAGGGGCTCATCACCTACCTTTGGAGTAGACCCTGGAAAAAAAGTATATACTTTTTAGGTATAAGTAGCTATAATAGGAACCCAGAACCAAAAAAAGTATTAAAGTACAGTACTCCAAAACCCAGAATCATCACCTCAACGGCCCCCCCAAGGCCCTACCCTCATCAGCACGAAGGCTTGTCGCCTGAAAGGGCTGAGGATTCAGGGGTTTAGGGTTTAGGGTTTAGGGTTTAGGGTTTAGGGTTTAGGGTTTAGGGTTTAGGGTTTAGGATCAGGGGATTTTTTGCCACCCGCCTAGCAGACCCCCTCTGGGATCACTCCGCAGGGAACAGTCGTGTACGTGTCATAGGTTCGCAAAAAGGGCCCCGAGGCTGCCTTATCTACCCTAGATCAGGGGCTTAGGGAGTTTATGGTTTAGGGTTTAGGGGTTAGGGTTTGCGTGCAACGCCGTCCATGATGAAACTCGGATTTCTGGCCTCCTCCAGCAGAAGCTCCTGCCGAACAAAGGCAAAGCAATCATCGATGTATGTGCAGAGCGCACGCCCCACGCAGCTCTGTAGTGGGGGATCTGGAGAACCCTGAGGGTCCACGTACCTCACTATTATGTGCTTGGGCCCTAAAGTCCCAAAATAGGAGGTACTTTAAGGCCCAAGTCTTCCCTATGTAGGTACATGGAAAGCTGTGCCAAGCAGCTGCCGAACTAGCTTACACTCCCCCAAAAAGCCCAATATTTTGCCTAAATTAAGGAATATCCCTTAGATCATATTAAGGATCCTGAATATGATTTAAGGAATATTCCTTAACTTAAGCATAATCTTGGGCTCTTTGGGCCAGTCATCAAGCCGCAACCTGCAATTCTTAGGGGGCTCCTGGCTGCCCCGGAAGACTGGCGGCAGGTTGCCCTGCTCCTGCTTGGGGTTTAGGGTTTAGGGTTTAGGGTTTAGGGTTTAGGGTTTAGGGATAGAGCAAGCTTACATGTAAGGATACATAAGAGATGTACAAGGAGGTATAAGGAAACATCAGGATATCTACAGATGCATGGGGGAATGTCGGATTCAGAGGCCTCTGGGCCTCAGGGGAGGAGCGCTTCTGTGTTTAGGTGGGATGAGGATTTCTGGCGCGCATCCGTGGTGTTGTCGAGGCAAAAGGTGGGAAGCCCCTACCTTCCCCTGACTAGCGTCAGGGGATTCGGGTTTAGGACTTAGGGTTTAGGATCCGAAACTCAGAACAAGAAAAACACACTCTAAACCCTAAACCTTCTAAGAGGTTAACAGCAGAAGTCCTCACCCGGCTGTTCAGTGATGCGGGGTGGCGCCTCTCAGGCAGAGCATGTACCAGTCATGCCCTCCCACGTATGTTAAACCCCCCTACCTCCAATATGGAATACCCCCCGCCCCCATATACTGCAACTGGGGGTATCCTTTTTTGTTGCATCCGGGCTGGGGGTATCCCTAAACCCTAAACCCTAAACCCTAAACCTTTCAATATTAGGGGGTCGGGGGGCTTATTGGCTCGGGGAGTCCCTTGCGGTGGTTTGCCCTTCTTCTACCGGTCCAGGGTCTTCTTGCTGCACCATCGGGTTTAGGGTTTAGGGTCTAGGGTCGAGGGTTTAGGGGCCTTTTTCAGACCCCCTGGGAGGATCCAAAAAGTAGAGCCCCCTTTCCACCCCCCATTTTTCAGGAACCCTTACTGGGATCTACTTTTTGGATCCTCCCAGGGCCCTGGGTTCTTGCATTCTCAAAGGATCTCGAAGCTGCAGCTGGGCCTCCAAACGTCCTGTGGCTCACGTCCGACCATAACTCGAAGAGTTTCATGGGCCCTTGGCATGGTCCCTGGTCAAAGGCTTCTGAAGTATGGGCCCTTGGGTCTTACAGGGTATATACGGGGACTCCCTTTTGAAGGTCCCACTCCAAGAGGGACCATGCAACTACCCTTAACACCAAAACCCTCCTTAAAAAAACTGCGGAACCTCAAAACCCTAAACCCCAAACCACAAACCCCAAACCCTAAACCCCATGAGTCCAAAGCCCTCTGAACCTCAAAGTGGTGCATCTCCAGGAAGGACGGCAATTTCGGAGGCATTGCTCGAGCCAACTCTTGAGGGGGCGGTGGCTTTCATTCTGCATGCATGTATGTATATAAATATAAATATAAATATATAAGAATAAATAACTACATAAATAAATAAATAAATAAATATATATATATATATGTATATATATGAAGAGAAAGGAGAGAGAGAGAGAGAGAGAGAGAGAGAGAGACTTATAACATTTGCGACAGCTAGCGCTGCAATAAATAGCATGTTTGCACGCTTCTTCGAGGTCTTGTTCAATTCGCGCAGTCTCAAAAAACACACAGAGCACCAGGTGCTTAATTAATGTTTTTTTCACGTTTCCAGATAAAGGAACACCTGTTTAACAGAGGTTGTACTGTAAACGCTGACAACGCGTGGTTCTTTATCCATCTTACGATGATTTTATTGGGAAAAAACCTATCATGGGAGAGGGGCTGACCACGGATGATCTCCGCCCCGGCGTCATGAAAACATAACTTTTTTCTTGATTCAGTGATTGCAATAGCTGTAGTATCATTGTCTCTCTTTCTTGTTTTTTCTCTCTTTTTTTTTCTCTCTCTCTCTCTATTGACTGCTCCCCTAACCCCTATAAACCCTAAACTCCAAACCGGTTTTGGGAGAGAGGCTTAGGTTGGGGGGGGTTCGGTTTTAAAGGGGCCCAAATGGTTGCAGCTTGGGGCTTGGGCCTTGGCCAGCTTCAAGGGGGGCTCTTTTCAAGTCTTGTGCGCCAGGTGGCTCTTGAGGCTTCAAGTCAAAGGGCGCAAGGTTTAGGGTTTAGGGTTTAGGGTTTGGGGTTTCGGGTTTCGGGTTTAGGGAAAAATCTAAGCCCTAACGTGCAAAGCAGGTCTGAGGGACGAAGGGGCAGTTTAGGGTTTAGGGTTTAGGGTTTAGGGGGGGGAGTTAGGGTTTAGGGTTTCGGGTTTAGGGGTTGGGGGGGCTTAGAGGCTTAGGGGCGTCCTTCGGCGGAGGATTTTGGGGATCGTAATTATGGCTCCTATATCATCATACCATAATAACCCCCAAAACCCTAGGCCCCGACATTAAGCTGTCAGGGCATTTTCATCTCCAGCAGTGGGTTCAAGGCTGCAACCCGCGCAGCATTTTGAGGACCCTGGGACCCAAATGAACCCTATCCTTGGGTTCATATGGGGGTTTCCAAAAATAGGGGTACCCTTTTGGGGGTCCTTGTATTTCTATTCTATTTGGGGTATAAAAGGGGTGCCCCCTACTTTGGGAAGTGCCCATATACCCCAGGTGAGGATAATGCTATTATGAAGGTACATGAACCTTTAAACCCTTTTGGGGTTCATTGGTCCCCAGGGGATGCCATCGTTGCCATCGTTCTCACCTTCCCGGGCCGGCATGCTGTTCTCACATCAATTACACATACCTCACGCAGGGACCTAACAAGTGTGCGTACGACCGCTGGGCGCCCTTCAAGTCCAGAAATCCATCACCTGGTTCACAGCTCTGCCCCTTGGGAAAGACACGGGGTGCTCTGCCTCTCACGACTTTGTTGGGGTCTGCCTCGCATTGGTGCTCAGCACTGCCGGCCCTTTCGAATTCATTTCGCGCTCTGCACGAACAACAAACAGGCTTGCAAAAGACAAGGCTTGCACATGCAGAGTCCCACATGGGGGTTTCCGAAACTAGGGGGTGCCTTATTGGGGTCCTTATTATAGTGGATTTATGTTTACGGGCTATTGTAGGCGTCTCCTGTTTTCTATTTTCGTAAACCCCCACATTGCAGAAAAACACTTCCGGGTGAAATGGAGCGCACGCTCGCTGTTGAGATGGCGCAGACCTTAGCTTGTCAATTGGTTGACTTGGAAGCCCTAAACCCTAAACCCTAAACCCAAAACCCTAAACCCGAAACCCTAAACCCTGGACCCTAGACCCTAGACCCTAAACCCTAAACTAACCCTTTTGAGCCCGGACCCTTTTGAACCCTAGACAGGTTGTTTTCATTGAAGATTTGGGTTCAGCGACAGCGCCGAATAAGAAAAGCCTGGTCCGAGAGCTGAACACCCAAAAGTGCGAGAATGTGCCGTGCTTAAACAAGAAATGCAAGGTTTAGGTTTAGGGTTGAGGGTTGAGGGTTTAGGGTTTAGGGTTTAGGTTTTAGGGTTTAGGGTTTAGGGTTTAGGGTTGAGAGAGCCTCACCCTCAACCCTAAAAGGGCAGGTTTGGGGAAAGGCTTCTGGAGCTATCTTCAGGCCCATATGAAAACTAAGGAATATGAAGGGCTGATGTTTGTGACTTAGTCTTGGGCCTGGCGACTTCCCCACCAGACCTGCTTCTAAACCCTTTCTTTGCAGCCGGACTGAGTGGGTGGGGGTGGGGGTCGGGGTGAGGGTTTAGGGTTTAGGGTTTAGGGTTTAGGGGTCAGGGTTTAGGGTCAAGGGTCAAGGGTTTAGGGTTTCGGGTCTAGGGTCTAGAGTAAGAAGTGCAGGGTAGTAACATCTTGATGCTCAGACGCACAGCTATTTTTTCCGGCACCGCAGTTGCTTCACATGATTGCGCAGTCTTGTTGCACCTCTTTGGCTAGTGCTGTCCATCCAGTTTCCAGGTCCTGAGCAGGCTTCGCACACACACACACACACACACAAACCCCTAAACCCTAAACCCTGAATCCTGAACCCTGAACCCTATAAACCCTATAAACCCTAAACCCTGAACCCTGAACCCTGAACCCTAAACCCTAAAACCCTAAAACCCTAAACCCTAAACATCCCTAAACCCGAAACGCTACACATACCTTTAAGCATTGCGGCTCGCAGTAGACAGAAGCTCGTGAGCAAATGTTTCGAGCGAAGCGAACAAAGTTTTTTCTGTTATGTGGGCACGTACACCAAAAAATCTCTACACATAACATCACACACCCCTAAACCCTATAAACCCTAAACCCTAAACAGAATACTTTTTGCACACCAGATATCTTGCACGTCGCCTCAGGGTGCCCTGTTCTGTGTGCCGTCTATTCTATCTTCAAATATACTAGTGCTTCTTATGCTTAATTCACTGACATTTTGTATTACACTGTTGTATGAATATCTTCCTATATTCATCTCTTTTCATAGAATATACTGTATTACTATCGTATCATTACATGCGACACTGCCTCAGCTCAACCCCCCACATCAAGATGCCAACTCGTTAGATCCGGTCAGCCAAAGGGTCGAACTCGGGCTTCCGCATCGCGTCGTACTCCCAGTCGATGTGCACCTCGAGTTTAGGGTTTAGGGTTTAGGGTTTAGGGTTTAGGGTTTAGGGTTTAGGGCTTAGGGTTCAGGGTTTAGAGTTTAGGGTTCCCACTACTTACCTACCATGTGCTTAAGAACCTCCATGGACAAACTCAGCATCCCCATGGCGCCCTTATGAGCAAGAACTTTTTCCCCACGACGTACATCAAAGTCCAGGAAGTCGGAACATGGTCTGAAGATGATCAGAGCAGGGATTCCCTTTAGGACGCCTTTTGGGGTATGGGGGATAAGGATATTAGTTGCTGAGAAACCTGGCCCAGCAAAGGCTAGCCTTTCTTTAGGGTTTAGGGTTTAGGGATTGGGGTTGAGGGATTACAATCTGATCACTTAAAGAGCTTGGAGGTTACTATCGTAGGGTAAAATGTTATGCAGGTACCTTTGTGCATCCGGATGCGTGTAGATGTTGCCAGAAACTGCTTCGTCCCCGATTCCCCAAGCCCTAGACCCTAGACCCTGAACCCGGATCCCTGAACCCTAAACCCTAAACCCTAACAAGCAAGTTTGGGCATCCTTGGGCAACGACCGGCTGATCTTTGTCCAACCCCTCGGGCTGCATCAAGCCAACCAGGGACAACCGCGATGCGCCAGGTAGGCTTCCTGAGCTCGGCAGGTTAGGGTTTAGGGTTTAGGGTTTAGGGTTCAGGGTTTAGGGTTTGGGGTTTAGGGTTTAGGGTTTGGGGTTTAGGATTTAGGTTTGGGGTTTGGGGTTTGGGGTTTAGGGCTTAGGGTTTAGCGCCAAGTTTAAGGTTTAACAGACAATGCAGGCCCAGGACATACCAGCAGCCTTGTTCTGCAGCAGCCAAGTGGCTCGCTTGAACAAGCCTCAGGACGCACATGTCGCAGCTTAACTACACGGATGCGACGCTGCTTGCCGAGACCGGACTTAGAGACTGATAAAGGATGTGATAAGGTCCCAGCTTGTGTTTCCTGGACATTTTGTGCGCGGCGACCATGATGTACGGCTGCGAAGCATAACATCTGCAGGGTCGGGTCAAGCACTTCAGATCCCCAACGACACTCTTTCCAAAAAAAACAGCTCACGTGTCAAGCCAGCCATGTAGGCCATTCCATGCGTCCCCTGGGTTCGAACTACTATGAATCCTGGATTCATGTGGCAGCCGTTCGCAAGCATGTGGGCGGCACTGCATCTTGCAAGTGGGGACTACAGAATAATAAGGTTATAATAGTAAGGCTATAATAATAATAAGGTTATTATAATAAGGTAGGTTATTATAATAACATGTGGCAGCCGCGTGCCTGAAGATCATCCTTGCGCAGGGGGCCAGGAAGAACAAGTTGGGACCCATCGCTACAAAAATCAAACGAAGCCCACCGTGGCTGCAACAACATCATTGTCCTAACAAATTGGGCTTAGGGTTTAGGGTTTAGGGTGGTTTAGGTCCTCTCCACGTGGCTGGTGCCACTCGGCAGCTCTGCCACGATCAGGTACTCGCCGCCCCGTGACACCGTGAATGCCAGCATAGAGTCCCTGGCAAGCCACAATATGGGGGGGTTTACGAATCTACTGGACCCCTAAACCCCGAATATACACCCAAAATAATCGGATTCCCGTAAAATAAAGACCCCCAAAATACCCCCTGATTTTCGGAAACCCCCAACAGAAAATCCACCCCTCATGATGAACGTATTTCAGTGATCCCTACGGCGTTGTGTACGTGAGCCACGCAAACCCTCCGAACACAGTCTTCAACTTTCGTGTGTGCTGGCATCACGCACCCGCAAAACCAACTTTGCCCGACAAACACGCTACGAATTTGTAAGGCCGAAAGTGGGGGTTTAAGGAAAATAAGGAACCCCGAATATTACTAGACCCAAAACAGGATAGGATCCCCTTACAGTTGAGTAATAAGGACCCGAAAAAGGTACCCCCCCCCCCTTCTTTTTTGGGCATCCCTAAATCCTCAACCCTAAACCCCGATAAACCCTAAACCCAAAGTTCCAACTGGGATGAGGCATTGCGCGGCGCGATGCCTCACAGGGATCCAGTTCGAGCGGCATATCAGATGATCACCTTGTCAACAGGGACTAACCCTTTTGCAACAGGGATAAACCCTAAACCCTAAACCCTAAGCAGGGATTAGAGTTTAGGGTTCAAGGGTTTAGGGAGGAACGTGCCGTATAGTTCACGATCATCATGATCCTCAGTATGAATTCAGGTACATAGTCCTTAATTTTAAGTCAAGGGGTTTTGAAGGAGCCGGCAAGGCAAACACGCATGGGCAACGAAAAAACACGTTTCAGCCAAGGTGCTGTAGGTATTCTCAATGTTGACTTTCTCATAGACCTGCCGCACTTCAAGTGTGATGGCAAACACGCTGGCAAAAACAAATCAAGCAAAACCCCCCTAAACCCTAAACCCTAAACCCTAAACCCTAAACCCTAAACCCTAAACCCTAAACCCTAAACCCTAAACTTGACCCTTAACCCTAAACCCATGCATAACTTCGCCAAGGGTCCTTGCAAAGGATGGGAACCGCCCTGCCAGCGTACAAGCCGTTGCCAACAAATGGAACATGCGAACCATCTACAATACTTGCTTTGGGTTTAGGGTTTAGGGTTTAGGGTTTAGGGTTTAGGGTTTAGGGTTTAGGGTTTAGGGTTTAGGGTTTAGGGTTTAGGGTTTAGGGTTTAGGGTTTAGGGTTTAGGGTTTAGGGTTTAGGGTTTAGGGTTTAGGGTTTAGGGGTTGATCATAGCCAAGAATCTGTGGCCGACCACCAGATTGCATCAGCATGCGTGGGTCGAATTGTTCGACTGAGCACACAATCCTGGGCCAATGGGGTCAAACTCAAAGCAAACGTTTCACCGAGCTGCCCGGGCGCAGTTCAACATGCGAACTCAGCATGTGCAACGCGACAATGAGGCATGATGTTGCCAAGTTGCTCGCACGGGACGGCGTGCCTTGTCTATTTTGGGTTGGCAACCATTCGACTGAAGAATTTGGGGTGCTCGGTTTTTGGTTCGGCGCATTGTGAAGCATCCTTGTGCGAGCTTGATGTTGGAGGATTCCGGGTTTGAGGTCGCAGGTCCATCTCCAGCTTGGTTTCTTGGAAGTTGGGATGGTTTTTCAGCCGTTCCTTGGTGATGGAAGACGAATCACAGTACTCAAACGTTTTGAGGGATGGGAAACTATGCGTTCATGACGGCGGCATTGCAGGTTTCGCATGCATTCGCAAAGCATGGGATGTTGTCGGGCAAACCCAAATACCAATGTCGCGTCGGCATGTGGCCTTCGAAAAACATGTGCCAACACCATGCTATGTGTTCATGTTCGTCATGACTGGGACATCATCAGGTGGCCTGCATGGTTGACATCAGCCAGGCAAGCCAGTTCCCGTCGTGCACGTATACGCTACCGCAGCATGGCTTTGCCATAGCACGCTGATGCGCGCAGTGTATTTACCACAAAACTAGCATTTTCATTTTGGATCTGTCATCTGGCACGGGAGGCTTCAGGGGCCAAAAGTCTCCTTTTTGGTGCAAGAAATTTTCCCAACACCCCTCTCGGCCCGAAAACCGCCTAGTATTGGAATCGAGGTTGCCGTGAGTCGGCTGAATTTCCCCGTGGGCCCTAAACCCTAAAACAAAACCCTAAACTTAAACCCTAAACCCTAATCGATTTGTAGCATTTGTAGCACTAGCTACGGACTGGAATCGAAGTTTCCATCAGAGACTGGTCCCGAAACGACCGTGAGTCACCGTCAGGAAAAGTAAACGATTCAAGCACCATACGTTTACCAACAAGCAATAGCCAACTCAAACAAAAGCTAACAAGTAACAGAGAGTGCATGAATGTTTGAAGCATATGTGCAAATGGAAACAGATGCGTCTCAGATGTCGACGTCCCGTGAGACGGCTGGATTTTCATCGATTTGTAGTACAGCATAGTGCAGCTTGATATAGGAAACAAAACAAAACAAAAACAGAAATCGGAATCGACATTCCCGTGTCATCGCTTCTCCAAGCAAGGCCTCCATCCTGCCAACACGGGCCAGGCGAATTCATAACGAAGAGGCACGGGGTTCTTCCACAACCACAGGTGTTCATGCGTAAGATTCCGGTAATGCCTGCTTCGTTGTCTAGTTCCATACCTGGGTCTCGCGCATGCGATTGCGCTGCTCTCGTGAATACGTGTGCGCACACCCTTCTGCAGCTCGTGCGTAGGTGTGTGTGCGTGTGCGTGTGTGTGTGTAGGTGTGTGTGTGTGTGAGTGTGTGAGTGTGTGAGTGTGTGAGTGTGTGAGTGTGTGTGTGTGTGAGTGAGTGAGTGTGTGTGTGTGAGTGAGTTGTGAGTGTGTGAGTGGTGTGTAGGTGTGTGTGTGGGTGTGTGCACAGGTGTGCGCATAGGTGTGTGCGTAGGTGCGTGCATACGTCCGTGCGTGGGTGTGGGCGCAGTGTGTTTGTCCGTGTGTGCGTGTGTGTGTGTGTTAATGTGTGTGTGTGTGTCAGTCAGTCAGTGTGTGTGTGTGAGTGTGTGAGTGGTGTGTAGGTGTGTGTATGGGTGTGTGCACAGGTGTGCGCATAGGTGTGTGCGTAGGTGCGTGCGTACGTCCGTGCGTGGGTGTGGGCGCAGTGTGTGAATGTGTGTGTGTGTGTGTGTTAATGTGTGTGTGTGTGTGTGTTAATGTGTGTGTGTGTGTTAATGTGTGTGTGTGTGTGTTAATGTGTGTGTGTGTGTGTGTTTGTCCGTGAGTGTGAGTGTGTGTGTGTGTGTGTTTGTGTGTAGACGTGTGTGTCTGTGTGTAGGTGTGTGTAGGTGTAGGTGTAGGTGTAGGCGTAGGCGTAGGCGTACGCATAGGCGTAGGCGTCAGCGTAGGTGTTGGTGTGGTGCGCGTGTGTTTGTGCGTGCGCGCGCGCACTCCTATATGCAAGGGCCCCGCAACATCAATGCAGCCCAAACCATGACGCGGAGCGTACAGGTGTCTGCGCACGCGCTTATGCCTCTGCAGCTCGTGTGGATAGGCATGTGCGCACACCCTGATACGGCTCGAGCGTCCATAGCCCCTCGGTGGGCGTAATATATTCCTATATGCAAGGGCGCCGCCGCATCCGTCACACCAAAAACACTCGGACAAAATCTACTTCGTCGTGCGGCTGCTGCACGCGCGCGTGGTGTTGCGAATCCCCATATAGAAGTGTACGCACACCCTGATGCAGTTCGTGTGTATAGGCGTGTGCGCATTGGGAATTGACCATGCTTGACCAGCCATGATACTCTGTTTCTTGGACAGGTGCCTGCGCAAACAGACTCGATAAAAACCACATGAAACCCAACAGGTAACGTGAAATCTGTGAGATGCCAAGAAGGAGAAAAAAACATCTACACCTCCTCCGAACTGTGTTCAAAAGGAAAAGAATCGAATCATTTTTTTGCAAATGGAAGGTCGACAGCATTTTGGATTAAGTGCACGCGTGTAGTCATTCGCATAGCTTGGGATGTTCCCCTGATACTAACAGTCCTCAATAGGGATTATAATAGGGGGGGTATTTTTTTATCCGATTAAGCACTGTTCGTATCAGGGGGAACATCCCCACCTACACCCTAAACCCTAAACCCCAAACCCTAAACCCGAAACCCTAAACCCTGAACCCTAAACCACAGCTCAAAACACAATGAACACCAACACCTCCTCTACTGTGGCCCGGGGTGCTGCGGCACGGTGATCATAAACTCAGGCTCATTATCCCGAACCTGGGTGTGCGAAGCAGGGTTTAGGGTTTAGGGTTTAGGAGTTTAGGGTTTAGGGTTTAGGCTATCCCGCAGCCATCGGGGACTGTTGCGCACAAACAGCAGCGTCATGTCTGTTCATGGATCAACTGCCGCCGAAAATCGACTTCACCAGGATTGGCGAACACCCATTCCTTGTCTGTCTGACATTGGGCAAGTCAATGATTCAAAAAACAGTAGAAATGCGACATGCCTGCACCACACTGCGCTGCACGGGACATTGTGTTGAACTTGATATCAGCAGGCATGCAGAGGGCATGCACAGTGACACTTGGAATCACATGGACATCTCCCATAAAAGCCCGACAACACTTCTTACAGGATCCCCCTAAACCCTAAACCCTAAACCCTAAACCCTAAACCCTCAACCCTAAACCCTCAACCCTAAGCCTCCCACCTCCCCCCTCCCCCCCATCCCAAAAAATCCCCGGTGCATCATGTGCCGCCCAAACACATACCAAGCTAAGGGTTGACCATCTCCCCCCACATGCTGCACACCTCTCCGCCGGACCTCCATGGAATCCATGTCCTCCACTCCTCCATGGAGGTTTAGGGTTTAGGGTTTAGGGTTTAGGGCTTGGGGTTTAGGGTTTAGGCTGCGAAGACGTGGCAAGTCAGTGCAGATACCCGGTACTTTTGGAGCCCCCCCCCCCCCCCCCCCCCCTTTGGGGAATGTCGTTGGGGTGTTCCAGATCTTGTGTCTTGTGTGGCCGCCAGGCCAGCCCTAAACCCTAAACCCTAAACCCTAAACCCTAAACCCTAAACCCTAAACCCTAAACCCTAAACCGCCTAAACCCTAAACCCTAAACCGCCTAAACCCTAAAACCTAAACCCTAAGCATCCCAACCTCCGTCAGTGATCGCAGGGTGCGGAACCTCAGAATGCAATCTGCAGCTTAAATCCATGGGAACCAAAGGATTAAACAAACAAAAACAAAACAAATGGGACTATGGTTCATAGACCTTAACAAGAACCATAGTAGTGTAGGGTTTAGGGTTTAGGGTTTAGGGTTAAGGGTTAAGGGTTCAGGGTTTAGATGGTTTAGGGTTTAGATGGCTTAGGGTTTAGGGTTTCGGGGTATAGGGTCTCTGACCCCAGGTTTAAGTTTCTTTGGACCTTGCGAGAGGAATTGTAAGTGGTACCGGGTCCATGGCCCCAATTTTGGGTTCCCTTTGCTTCCCCTCAGAATCTCGTAGTGTTTTCTTGGTGCCGTAAGCTTTGGGGTTGTTGGCTGAGCCGCGGTTTAGGGTCTTAGGGTTTAGGGTTTTAGGGTTTACGGTTTAGGGTTTAGGGTGGTGTGCTCTAGACTGGCCACATTCTGCCATGCCCAAGCGGTAGGAGGGGTTGGGCGTGTCTAGGGTTTAGGGTTACGGTGTTGGTGGCTAGGATGGCCACCTTAAAACCCTCTGAGAGATATTCCTGAATATCGTCCTCTCAAACCCAATAAGGGAAACTATAAAGGGGTTTGGGGTTTAGGGTTTAGGGTTTAGGGTTTAGGGTTTAGGGTTTAGGGTTTAGGGCCTTATAAAGTATCCCAGAGGCCTACCTAGTTGGGCTTTAGGCTTTGTAGGGTATAGGAGGAGTAATCGTATCTGCTGGTCCAACAGCCGCACGACTCACTTGACATGCCCATGTGATCCTGGATGTGTTGGTCAGTAGGTAGGTTTAGGGTTTAGGGTTTAGGGTTTGGGGTTTGGGGTTTGGGGTTTAGGGTTTAGGGTTTAGGGTTTAGGGTTTAGGGCTTAGGGCTTAGGGTTTAGGGTTTAGGGTTTAGGGTTTAGGGTTTAGGG